CTGCAAAATGCCATCTGGCTGCCTTGGACTCAATTGGGAGACGTGTGAAAAGGCTTATTGGTGACCGTAACTTGATTAAAAACAACCTTATTAGCCTTGAGTACAGGCGCAGAGTAGCCAGCCTCTCGGTCTTCTACAGGATTGCATTTTAGAGTGTGCGTTGAAGTTGCATTATTTGATTCCTCCTGCCCCTTTCCATCGTCGTTGAACTAGCCGTTCGGCGATTTTTGTGACCCTTATGTTATCGAAGTTCTCAGAACAAAGCGATTTGCTTAATCATTTATCTAAAAAAACGGCAAAAAAATCATGTCTGTTGTATGGGCCCCACTTAAATATTGTTCAGTATTTGTTGTTATAGCGGTAAGAGGAATATCACATCTGTGAAAATTTCAACTGTCTAAATATGTTTGTGTCAGTTCATGAGATACAGCCTGGTGACAGACGGACAGACAGCGGAGTTTTAATCCCGTTTTACACTTTGGGTACGGAACCCTAAAACCTGCCCAAATTGATCCAGTAGTTTATAATGTATATCTTCTTCTTGAGTGTACCGACTGCGAGGAAGTTGATTTGACAAGCTTTCAAAAACCCCGTACAAACTTATCATGTGGTTTGTGACTATTCGCATCCTTCTCCGAGGTGTGCTCATGCGCCCATGCGATGAACACCGGTTGCGTTCCGTAGGAGATCCCGGAGTCCCTCCAAACGTACAGAAGGTGGCCACCGAGGGCGTTTTAGTGGATAAGAACCATAGAAGAATAATAAGCACCTCACATAACCCGACAGGGTTGTTATTATCTTATACCTTTAAACGAAAAATTCTTGTAAATATATATATTTACACAGCGTGTCTTTACCACCGCGACAATAAATGAACACAGGTCTAACGCTACTTGCCAATAATCATAAAAAGTTATTAACGTTAAAAATAATCCATAATTAAAAAAAAAATATTTTTCAAACAAACTAATTAAGTAAAAAAGAAACAAAATTTGTAACATCCTATACAACTACAATTGACTGATTCATACATTCAGAGACTTTTTCATTCGTTGCAACAGCGCCGTATTACAAGCCTCTCCTTCTAACAGTATGTTTTGTCTCTTTTAAATTCATTCAACCCAATGATATGCTTTGTGACCTTTACAAATGAACTTTACGTTACAGTTTTATAGGTTAAAAAGTTATCCCCTATATGTGTGTTCATTTATTGTCACGATTGTAAAGACATGCTGTATAATTGGAATCTTATAGTTCATATTTTCTTATTATTACGTAGGTAAGATCGAAAAATATTGTGCATATTTCATTACTCAATTTGTATCCAAATGTAATTTCCAAAATAAACGATTTACCAAAAAAAAAACTAACCTCCTCCAGGTACTTAATATAAATGACAATGTAAGGTGACAGGGTATATTCGAAGGTACCAAAAAAAAAGTAAAGAAAAAAAGGCGCATTAAAACCGAGTCCTGAGTCAATACGATAAGAAGATTTGGGCGAATTTAGATTTTCTCGAAAACTTGTAAGTACCAAAATTTTACACAATTTTCAACCTTTTCGTTTTTCTGAATTTTCGCTTTACCTGTGCTTGATCTTGCTTTTAACCTAAATTTCCACCCGTTCCTGAGAAAATAGGTGAAGTTTACCAATTTTATTATGACGGTAAAATGGATAGGTGCAGAACCCTCGGCATACGAGTTCGATTTGCGCTTGACCGATTTTTTTATTTTTAGTGCTAGTCTCTGTACCTAAGACGAAACTTGCGGGAAATCGGATAGCGCGGGTTCAAAGCCCTTCGAGGTTTCTTTTCGGTACGTCAGAACTAACATAAGTTTTAAAACTTATGTTTATTACTATCGACGAAAAGTAGTAAAAGTTATTATTTGCATTGCGTGTAGTTCAAAAAAGTAACATAAAATATCAAATTTTATGTATTAAAATATGTAGAAAAAGTGCGAAAAGATTGTCGCCGCTGTGGGAATCGAACCCACGTCTTCGGCATTCGCGGCCTGATGTAGTTAGGTAACGTTTTCTACATTGTTTTCTTAGCGAGGCTTGCCATCGGAATAGGCTTCGAATATCGTTTCATAATGGTGAACGAGGAGCCGGGGTTTATAGTGCTAATCTTTGCACTTAAGATTGATTAAAATGTAGAAAAAGTGCGTTGTCGCAACGCACGTCTTCGGCAACTCTACGTTTTATGTAGTTAGGTAGTTTCTGGACGAGGGCCACGGAATAGGCTTCAATGGGAGGGAGCGGCGGGCAACGCATCTTGTTGCAAAAGTCAATGGGCGGCGGTTTTCACTTAACATAAGGTGAACCGCCATATCGCTTGCCACATAATCACATAAAAAAATTGAGTATTAACAGATGTCAGCCAATGGAAAAATATTCTTCATAATATGCATGCTTTTATTTACATATTTTTATACTTTATCGCATTTCCTTGAATTCGGAAAACAATAGGCGGACTTAAAGCCTTTAGCCTTGCCAGTCAAGCTTTGGTGTGGTGTGATTTTAAGGCAGGTGCAATAATAATACTAACAAAAATTAAAGTTAGACAAAAATAATAAAACTTTTAAATACAAAAAAATATAACATAAACTAATTATAAATATTTTACTTCTAGTTTCTGAAGATTAGATTATAATATTACAAAATATGAGATGAAAGTGAAAAGTTCGCCATGCCATAATTTAACCAATAAACGAATATATAGTTTATAATGCAGGAAATTTTAGCCCGAAGAATAATTTAAATTGAACAAAATTTTAACCTATATATGGTTTCACCATTCTCGTACGTAATGGCAAACTCCATTGTGTTGCGAATTAACTATTCGTGAATACTTTTGTCCCCTTTCTCAACCGGGTCGATGAGAACGTTAAAATGGATAACTTAGTTACTTAGTTTCGGAATCAGTAGAGAAAACCCAATATGGAAATACAATAAGGCATTTTTGGAAAAAAAAATAATCAAATACGTCTTTTATCCGTATGAAGGCATCATGGTCGCGTAGCCTCAAACAAGGTTATCAGCAATCGCTGTGCACATCGATAATTTCTTTGATATACATACATCACCATATAACAGTAGCTTTGCGGGTGTTATATTTTACACTGGCATAAGTTTCAAATTGAAATGTGTTTAGGGAACGTTCGCGAAAAACTTAAGCGCAGGACATTTTGGCCTTGTACAGCTCTTGATAGTTTGTTTTGATTTTATGTTGTTGTTGATATTGAGTCTAGTGGAAGCCCCGTGTGAATGGGGAAAGGTACACAGGGAAAGACGACTCTTCTCCATTCGCAAAATCAATCGCTCAGACTATCAGCGGCATTTAGAGGCGATATGGTCGAGCTAAGAAGTTTGTCCGTACAGTACAGTTCAGTGACGTCCGCACATTGCACAAGTTCGACGAGTCGGTCCTTCCGAATCTCAGTCGTATAGAATGTATGGAATAGGGCGGTTCGACGAAAAAGCTGCTAATAGTGTGGGTGAATGTTGCGTGTGATAATAAGAAAGTATGTCCATTGAGTCAGACTTTGGCGAACACTTTGGTGAAACGGGAATAGCAGCCGTGCATTTAGGGCGGGAATTGTTAAAGCCCTGTGTGAGGCGATAGATATGTTCGGGCATGAATGTTTCGGTCGGAAGCGTGAGGTGGTTGGAGTACACATGGTTATTCACTCATATAGTTTTCCTAAAGTTACAGATGACAGTTCCATATAGTATACACTAAAGCAGTATTTTATTTATTATTTTTTGTATGGAAAGTAGGCGGTGCCTCAACCTAAAATATGACAGGCGTTACAAGTGCGTTGCCAATCTTTAAAAAAGTGGGCCCCGGCTACCTCACTCACAAGACGAAACGCAGAAGTACAACGTTTCCACTTCACGCCGGTCTTCCGTGAGGTCGTGGTACTTACCCGGACGGACCAGTCCGGACCTTAAAAGTAAAGTAAAGTAACAGCCTATACATGTCCCACTGCTGGGCAAAGGCCTCCCCTATACAGAGGGTATCAGGGCATAGTCCACCACGCGGCCCCAAGCGGATTGGCAGACTTCACATATTTTCGAAATATATATTTTTTTGTTATTATTTCGAAAATATGCAGGTTTCCTCACGATGTTTTCCTTCACCGCGAAGCACGTGATAAGTCAGCACTTAAAGTTAAAAACTTCATTGTTGCCGGCACCGGGGATCGAACTCGGGTTGCTCGAGTATATTGAATTAAAGGCGAGCGCCCGGACACTGAGCTATCACGGCTCTTCGTCCAGACCTTACCACAGTTCAATACAGATATAAGAATAGTTAGGGCTAAAAATTGGAGTTCGCTGTAGCAATCTGATCAGTGCTACACAGTCGCTATAGCCATGCTAATGTGCTATAGAATTCTAATCAGACCAAAATACTGCAGGGACTGGGGACGAGTCTCGTGGTTCAGAAGGGGTTTTACGAGAAGCGATAGTTATCGGTAGGAAATTGGAGTTCGCTGTAGCAGGTGGGTAATTGATCTCCGCCTGTGTGCTTGAGCGCGCCTTTGTGTGTGTGTGGACACTTACTAAAGGGGTGTTACGAGAACCGATACTTATCATTAAGAAATTGGAGTTCGCTGTAGCATGCGTCAATGATCGCCACCAGTGTGTGCGTTGCGTGCACGCTTTTGTGTGCGTGTGTGTGGACACTAACCGAGGGGTGTTACGAGAAGCGATAGTTATCATTAGGAAATTGGGGTGTGCTGTAGCACTCGTCAATGATCACAGCACCTGTGTGTGCGTTGCGTGCGTGCTTTTGTGTGCGTGTGTGTAGACACTAACCGAGGGGTGTTACGAGAAGCGATAGTCATCATTAGGAAATTGGTGTTCGTAGTAGCATGCGTCAATGATGCGCCTCTGTGTGCGTGCGTGTGTACCATTAGGAAATTGGATTTCGAATACATCAATGTTCACACCAGCTGCGCGCGCGTGCGTCTGTGTGTGTGCGTGTGTGCACTAACCGAGCAAGTTGGTCCCCAGCTGGTAGAAAACGATCGGCTCGCGCCTGTTCACGTCGCACGGGGCGGCGATCACCTCCTCGCGGAGGTACGCCTCCAGCAGCTGGAGGTAGCGCGGCTCGTTGAGGGTCCTCAGGCAGACCGCGCGCACGGCGAAGTAGTTGAACACGATGTGGAGCACCATCGTCGTCGCGAACACCAGCATGTGGCACCTGGAGCGTGCGTTAAGTTAAGCGGCTACCGGAACCGGTAGGGATGTCGAAAGAATATCGATGGGTACATTATAAATATCGATATTTTCAACCGACACATTTGGGGTCCGATACATCGAAATACCTTTCTCACATTCGAATCCGCGCACAGAGTCCGTACGTGTCAAAGATTTAATACATGACAATGCATTGTCCCAGGTTCGAAATCAATAGTATTATGATTTCTTTTATTTTTTTATGTGAGGTGGCAAGCTGTAGCAGGTAATTGACCACCTGTGCGTGCACACGCCTTTATGTGTGTGTGGACACTATGAGGTGTTACGACAAGCGATAGTTATCAAGTTATCATTAAGAAATTGGAGGTCGTTGTAGCATGCGTTAAAGATCGTCACATGTGGTGTTCGTTGCATGCGCGCATTTGTGTGTGTGTGTGTGTGTGGACATTAAACGAGGGGTTTTACGAGAATATAATTTAATTTAATAAAGTAACTCTAAACAATAAACGAATAAGGCAGATAGATGCGAGTGGACGTACAGCCCCAGCCGTACAAAATTTTTCAGTGTTCAGTTAATATGAAAGAAACATTTTAGAATAAGATGTTTTGTAGATAAATGAACGCAAACTTTCGCTTCGAGTTTGCTTCATTACTACTAGCAAATTACTATAGATGATTAAAAAAGGATCTCAGGATATAGAAATCAAAACTACCTTAGGAAAGTAATTGTGACATGTCAAAGTAGAATTTTTTACGGGGTTAGGCTTTAAGGAGCTTTAGTATAATAATTTTATTTTAATTCACCTAGAAGTAATTACGTCCCTGAATGCATGTTGATTGCAAAACGCAAAGTAGCAATTTCCTCTGTGGCTCTATACACATACTACGCACAATGATTTATTTCCTGTGGGAAACCATTCGTCGTCCCAGGTTCGAATCATCAGTACTCAAATTTCTTTTTTTTTATTGTGGCTGCAAGCGAGCTTGTGGTTCACCTCTATTGATATCCGCCGCCTATGGACATTTGCGACATCCGCGGAATTACAGATGCGTTGCCACCTATTAATAAATTGGCCATCTGTTAACTCACTCACCAGAGGCAACGCACAATAATAACGCTTGAAAAAAGCAATGGCGACATCAGCACAGATATTCGTAATTGTTTGTATGCTGAAAAGGATATAACAATGGACGCGCCAAGCATTGCTTCAAATGCTAAAAAAACAATGTAGATAAAAGACGTTAATATTTTCGTCGGTGTCGCAATAGGCCGCTTAGCTTAGTCGCTAAGGCGTTAAGCCGCGAATGCTGAAGACGCGGGTATAATACATTGCACCCGTGCGAAGCCAGGGCGGGTCGCTAGTCCTTAATATGTTGGTAACGGTTACAACACTTGGCGGGCGGCACCCAAAAGTACATACAAATTTTGGTGCCGTCATCGTCCCCAGACGAGACTACCCACTCCTGGGCCCCTTTGTTTCTTAAGGTTCTTAATTATTATTATGAATTATTACACACGGTGACTAGCTCTATCTGCCACTAATGGGATCGGAGTAAAGATAATATTAGAGGTTTTTGTTTGTTTGTTTAAAGATGAAAGCGTGAGATTTTACGTAAGCCCGTGCATTTTTTATGTACATATAACAGTCCGAGATCCCGGTTTCTCCGGAATGTCACAGGGGGATAAATGTGAGGTGCCTTAAGATCAATCGGAAGTACATTCATATGGCCAAATCGGATGCCAACAAGCGAATGCGACGGCATAGCACAGCGCAAGAAGTTATTTTATACATCATCATCCTGGCTTACGTAGGGTTGACGTGACCCATGGCAAACAAACACCCAGATGCGGAACATCTATCTGTGGGTCACACAAATAGTTGTCCCGTGCGGGAATCGAACCCACGACCCCCGACGCCGAAGCCAGTAGCTTAGCAACGATGTCAACGAGTCATTAGGGAGAAATTATTTTATACATTAAATAAAAACTAAGTAGTTGTCATCTTGTCCAACAAGTTGTCATTGGATAATTAATGAAATGGAAATTGCCAAATTGTAATAAATTTTTCATAACATAACCGTTAATATAGTGATGATATAGAAAACGTTCCAAACATTAGTTTTTCGTTGACAAATACTATAACATGTTTGCAATGCGTACAATGCTCACGGAAAAGAGTTTTTTCGCACCTCTCACGGATGCTACACGCTAAATCGAATTTATGTGTGTATATATTGACCAAGTATGGTTTTCCTACAAGAATCGCAACCTTATCACAAAAAGGCCAAAGCCTATCTATCATTAAAGTGTTGTAAATAACTGAAATTATTATAGTAAAATAACAATTCACATATATATGTCCCGGTTTGGTAAAGTTATTTTTGCAGAAGGAGAGAGAGAGCGTGAAGGGATCCCGAGTCAATATCAAGTATACTAACATCAAATGTTCTCTCCAAAATATAGTACTTAATTATATACTCGTATTATAATGACATGTACCGTCAATAGAGTCATGGGTTCATATGTTCCCTTCACAATACAGCTATGATATCAATTGTCTCTTAGATGTACTGTGTTTTCATCAAGTCTTTAAATGTGTTGCAGGGTTCATGGACATATAAAAATATACATTTATTAAGGCCCATTTACACGATGCCATTTTCTTGTACATACAAGAGCAATAATTGAATGCAATAAATTGCGCGCAATAATTGTTTAGACCATTTGTTGTTTAGACCATGCAACTCATTTATTGCTTCAATTTAATTGTATACAACAGGCAAGAAACTGGCACCATGTAAATGGGCCTTTAGTTGTAGCTAAATTTTCGCAATCGCTGCACAGGTTTGTATTTAATTCAAACGCAAAGTCAATAAATAACAATAGCACTTGCTTGGCTTGTATTATAACTCACTTTACGAAAAAATATACAATATTACTTGTAACTGAATTTTCGCAATCGCTACACAAGCTATACACTTGACTGCCAAGTCAAAAAATATTTAAAAATAGCATTGCTAATAACTAGAAAAACAAGATATGTTTTACTATAATAAAACTAAAATTAATTTATCTAGTGATCAGTTGTAATAATCACTACCGTAGTAGTAGCAGTAGTAGTAGTAGTGCATTAGTCATAAATTTGCTAGGCCTTATAACATAATTATAATATAACGATAAATGCAAATTATGTGGCAAGATTGAAGAATTGTTAAGAAAAATTAATTCGCAAAAGAAACAATACTGACTACAACTATGTTGTTGGCCACTGTGAACTAATGTTGGTGCAAAATAAAAATTTACATAAAATAATAATTTACATTATTTTTATTTTAGACATTAAAATAACAGCCTATACATCCCACTGCTGTGTATAGGCTTCCTCTTTTACAGAGGGTATCAGGGTATAGTCCACCACGCGGCCCCACTGCGGATTGGCGGACTTCACATATCTTCGAAGTATTTTTTGTGATATTATTTCGAAAATAGTTGGCTAATGGTATATGGTTTCCTCACGATGTTTTCCTTCGCAGTTGAGCACGTGATAAGTCAGCACTTAAAATTAAAAATTTCAATGCTGCTGGCACCGGGGTTCGAACTCAGGTTGCTCGAGTATATCGAATTAAAGGCCGGACACTGAGCTATCACGGCTCACACTATTTAGAGATTACTGATTATTAATCTATTATATATTATTACAAATTCAAGCAAATGCCTAAAGTTATCTGTACCCAATTGTGGAAATGATGAGGAGGGCGGTGAAGGAAGCGACCAGGTTCACTGCAGTCTCCTGGGCGGAGTCTTTAGCGGACACGTCGGCCATATTACCGCGTACCGCGTGGTGTTGCGTCATCGCAGCTCTAGTCGCTCCACCTGAAATTTATTAAGTACAATTCTTAATATTACAGTACGACAGTTATATTATATTCAAATACTAGGTAGATTTGACACTAGCGCAGTGATAATTAGATTGCAACTCTATAGACTGCTATCTCTTTCCGTATCATGCGTTCTATATAATGTGTCACATTCACTTTTATGTCATTTAATGTAAAGCAAAACAATTTTTAGACATCGCGTAGTGTGGACATGCGTAATCTAATTATTAAAACATCATTGCAGTACAACTTTCGACTACCTCAAGGCCACGCAGCAGCTTGTGAAGTGCATGTATTGTTCTCTCATGTTTCGTCTGGACAGTGAGGTAACCGAGGCCCACTTTTTAGCAGGTTCCGTACCAAAAGGATAAAACGGGACCCTATTATTGAGACTTCGCTATCTGTCTCTATGTCCGTCTGTCACTAGGGTGTATCTCATGAACCGTGATAGTTCTCTGCTACCGCTATTCCAACAAATACTAAAAAACAGAAGAAAAAAGTATTTAAGTGGGGCTCCAATATAACATACACTTTTAAGATAACGTTACCCCTTCGTGCGCGTGACTCGCACTTGGTCGGTTTGTTTAATGTTTGGCAATGCAAGTACAAGTACTTGACTGTACAACAAATATTAAGTCAAAACATACATACAATTATATTGTATTTTGTATGGAAGGGGTTGGGCAGTAAATCCCAACAACTGCTACAACCTAAAAGCTCAATGGTAGCCTTCCTTCCTTCCATTTTTTTAGAATACCATGACACTCTTATGTCCCATACTATGGGGTAGCAATGGGTATTCCATTTGGGAATCAAACCCACGAACCCTTGCTACCGAAGCCAATACCTTGGCAACTGTGCCGCGGAGTCATCATCTTATCCTTTAAACGAGCAATTCTTGTATCTTGTGTGTATATACAGCGTGTCTTTACAATCGCGACAATAAATGAACACACATATAGGGGATAAGTTTTTAAAATTGTATTAAACATTTACATTCTTTAAACATCAATATTTATAGAGTTATTAAATTTTCCAAAACAAAGAATTTTAGAACACCCTTACCTATAAAACTGTAACGTAAAGTTCATTTTTAAAGATCACAAAGCATATGAATGGGTTGAATGAATTTAAAAGAGACAAAACATACTGTTAGAAGGAGAGGCTTGTAATACGACGATGTGGCGCGAGTTGTATAGGATGTTCCAAATTTTGTTTCTTTTTTACTTTATTAGTTTGTTTGAAAAATATTTTTTTTAATTATGGATTTTGTTTAACGTTAATATTTTTTTATGATTATTAGCAAGTAGCGTTAGACGTGTGTTCATTTATTGTCGCGATAGTAACGACACGCTGTATATAATTTATAATCGGAATCTCGGAAATGGCTCCAGCGATTTTCATGAAATTTAGTATGTGCGTGGATTCGGAAGCGAAAAATCGATCTAGCTAGGTTTCATTTTAGAAAATGTGCTTTTATCTCTGTTTTCAGGGAATGAAAAATATCATTCGAATATGAAGGTAAATTTCGCCGCAAAAAAATAATATTATAATAGCTCTAATCGACCGCGATAATCGGGCGGCCCCAAAACAGACAGCCGTGGGTCGTATCACGATCATTTACACAATTATTTTATACTTTTTGAAGATTTGTTATTTTGTTATCTTTTTCCCCTTTTTTTAAAGTTCTTTCTTTTGTGAAAAACAACAGTTCATATTTTCTTAATGTCACGTCGGTAAGATCGAAAAATATTAGGCATATTTCATTACTCAGTAATTTGTATCCAAAGGTAATTTCCAAAATACACGACGTACAAAAAAAAAACAAATCACTTTTTTTGACCTAAGTTGATACTGTTCGTCTGCGCCATTCTTCACCAACGCTGCTATTAAAGTTCTAATATTAATTTTTGATTTGATAATACCATACATACAACTCGCAAGTATGATATTTTGGGTACTTAAAGTGCCATTGCGGTTTCGTAGAGTGACCTTCTCAATTCCTCTGGCGAGTGAATTAGCTGGGGCCTTTTTTATAAGTTGGCAACACATCTGATATGATATAAAGGCCCATTTACATGGTGCAAGTTTCTTGCCTGATGTATACAATTAAATTTAAGCAATAAATGAGTTGCATGGTCTAAACAACACATAACATTCTTTACTGTTGAACAAGACTTGCTTCAAGTTTTGTTTCAAAACTTTCCTTGGTGTAAACAGCACACACAATAATTTCTTAAGCAATTCTTGTATTCAATTGCATTCTCTCTTCCATTGCAAAAATGAGTGCGATGAGTGAGGGTGTTTAATCGTTGCTGTTCTTTTGAGGCAAGAAATATTGAGAAAAGTTCGTAAAAATGTTGGGCAAAAAAATGAATAATAATATATGGATAATAATAAATAAATGTCAATGAAATATATGAAATCGGCATAATCTAACTTGAACACTTATTATTAACCCATTTTTTAAAAATAAACAGCCCTTTTCAAAACGTTCAACACTTGAATGAAATATTTGTCAACGCAAATACGTGCAATACTTGAAGCAACACGCCAATAAATTGTACACGGACATACAAGCATGTGTTTAGACAAGTCAAAACTTGAAAGCAATAATCGCCTAAACATAATTGCATTGGTGTAAAGAAAAGACATTTGCAATTATTTCTTGTCAAGACTTGCATTCAATAATCGTATTCAATTTTTTTTACTATATCTGCATGTAAACTGTTGCTTACAATTCTTGATGGTCAATTATTGCGCGCAATTTATTGCATTCAATTATTGCTCTTGTGTGTACAAGAAAATGGCATGGTGTAAATGGACCGTAATTGTTGTAGAATGTCCATCAGTGGCATTAATCGTTTACGACCAAGTGAACAGCCTGCTCGCATAACAATTTTTAATTTTAAAGCTTGTTTGCTTACTTAAAGTAGTCATGTTTGATACTGTACTTCTTTATCTAATAATAAGTGCTATCTTTGAGCAAAAGTTCAAGGAGTTAATAACAAATTGGGATGGCTCTGATTAAACCACTGAATAAGGTCACTTTTGTTCAAATTGTGATGAAGCCAAAAAAATAATCAGCTAAAGGTAAAAATTAGCTTTTTAAAAAGAATAAGGAAGTAATGAAGAGGTTATTATATTTGATATGACTAATAATACATCTTTTTACTTTGTTACTCACCAGCTACTCCCACAATAGCTTTCATTACAGTGCTTACACAAAGAGCAAACATGGTGTAGTTTTTGAATAGCGGCAGTGCTATCTCTATGCACATTGCAGCATCATTAAGTGTGTCAGCATACAACCTCCACTTCTTACTGTAGGCATCCAAAAAGGTGCTGAAAATTGGGAAATATTGCTAATTTAGTAAAGCATAAAACATAACTATGAGCCAATAAACCAATTAGAAGCTAAAAGAAGTTAAAATTTTTGATGATTTATAACAGAATCAAGTATGAAGTTATTGCTGTATGTCAGTTATAGCTGTTAGACAGTTGCTGTCAAATGTAAAGATAGATGTTTATTTCACTGTTGTAGCCATGCAGTAGCCTCTGCTGTTACATTACATGTCTGAGAAATTACCACAGCCTCATAAAAGACAGGTGTGAAGAATAGTAAGACAAAATACAAACAGAATTTTTATGTTTGGATTTCTATCATCACAATATTATTATTTCATGGCTGAAGTGACAATGGGCCAGCTTGTAGAACCAATAACTGTAGGGGTAGAAAGTTTGAGTGGTGTACTAGCCATTGCAGTGTAGAACAATCCCTCATTAGATGGAGCGATGACCTGGGCAAATGTACAGGGATTCAATGGATGCAGGTGGCTCAGGATAGAACTTGTAAGGCAGTTTGTGGGGAGGCCTATGTTCAGCAATGGACTTTTAACAGGCTGAAATAATGATTGAGGATGATTATTTCTATCTATTATTTGAGGTAACTAAAGCTCATCATTTTAAATGCTGGTATTCACATGGTCATGAATTATTGTGTTGATGTCATAGGGTTGCAGAAACATTATTATAGCTCTTTCTGTAAGGACTTTAACTGACACATTTTAATTTTGTAGAGGATTAAGTTACATTGTACTAGGTAGGAATTGCAAGAGTTTGCTGGTTTAAATACTGGGAGCGAGTATCAATTGCTTTTCTCTTATTAGAAATTTTTAATCCAGCTTTTTCTCATTTTGTCCAGGTTTTGGGTCTTAATAGAGAGTTAGAGGCAGGTTTTGCTGTTTTCTGTTGGAGCAGAAAAGATAACCTTACCCATGACTATATGCAAAAAGAATTTTTCCAAGGTGACCACAGCCATCTTTTACCACCCAAGTGACTGTTGCAGCTAATGGTGTGGCACTTGTGTCACCAACCCCTACACCTCTTAGCACCTCCTGAGTTGCTAGTGTACCTGGTAATTTGAAATTTAATTTGAATGATTTTCATTGCTCCACACATAGATTTGTTTGTAGTCGTAACTACATTCTATAAAAATGAGTTTATGTTAAATGTACCTGCAATGATGCAAAAACATAATCATGGCATATTTTGACCAGTACAGGCCAGGGTTCAAGCAAATAAAGAAGTAATGTGATATTTGGAAAAATTTTCCATTATCACAGTTTCTATATTGCAATTAAAAATATTTTAAATGATAGAGAAAATATCAGTAATAAATTATTATAATATAATAATTCTCTGGTCGCTTATAGTTTTTGAGGAAAATAAATACATAAACTTGCTATTTTCACTAAGAAAGACTGCCATTTTATTAATTTGACTTCAAAAATTGACTACACAGTACTTCTATCATGATAAAATTAATATTAAAAATGATTTCATTTGTGATTTTTCTCTACCGTATTAAGTTTTTTGTTAAGTCGCAAAACATCCATATTAATAATAATTTTGAGACTTTTGCAGAGTTGCAGAAAAATTTATAGATTTTATTTTGATATGATTATTAATTAATTGTTTGATTATATAACCCATACATATAACCATAGTGTATGTAAATGTAAGTACATTAATATACAATATTACCAGTAATAGTACTGCAAAATGCCTGTGCAGTGTCCCATTTTTGGTAAGCTAAATAGTCTTTGCTGACGCTATCAGGGTACCCTCGCGGTAAAAAAATTCTTGTAAACCAGCCATTCACATTTATGTACTTTTCTTCGTGTAATATAACAACATTATTCTGATCTGAAAAAATAAAATGCAACTATTTTTTCGAATAAACAAAAAAATTCAAATATATTGGAATAATACTAAATAAGAAATCAGTACCATACCTGGTGGTTTAACGTATAATATTTCCTGGGAAGAGGATCCATATTTTTCCTTGAAAATTATTTCACCTTCATGTACTTTAAACATATTCATTTAATAAAAATATAAATACAATAATTGTGTAAAGTCGGAATTATCAATTTATTAACATTAAGACGGTATGTTTACTTCTTATAAGTTCTTCTTCTTCTTCTTTTCTTTTTTGGTTCTTATAAGTTTGTTAGTAAAAAGTTGAATTGAACTTGAAGTTTGAAGTGGCGTCAGTCAGTCGTTGTGTTGACATCACAGAGTACTTTTGTATATAGGAAAACATTAGCAAAAGCATTGGTTGACATTAGCAAAAGGCATTTGTATTAGGCATGAGTAAAAAATATCGATACATAAAAATATTATATTTTTGCATACAATTATTGATATAATTATATGGTCGATATATTTCTTCGTTTCAATTTCAATATATTTTTAACGCAAATCTGGTTTCATGTTTTATGTTACTAGATACTCTTTGCAGGTCCGCGCGCATAGTTAAGTTTAAAAAAATCCCGCCGCAATCTTTATGAAATGCAACATAAGAGTAAGACTCTTGGCTGCGTGCACGAAAATACTAATACTATTAGGCCATTAGTGCGAGACGTATATGACCCTGAAGTTAAAGACCAATTAATATATATCCGATTTTTGAAAACATACTTCTTTTGGCGCGTTAGGGGAAAATGATGAGAGTAAATTTTTACGACGCGCGCGCACACCGTCACGAAAAACCAATACCCTGAAGTTAGCTAGATCTACGTATGTTTGCGTGAGAACTGACAACTGTATTCACCATATTTATTGTGTGATATTTAAATTAACTTTATTTAACTACATAATGCGTTATAAGAGCACCTGGCACATGAGGTTTTTGTGTATACGCTACGAATCGGGGATCTTGAGTTCACTGGAGAATACGTTGTGCATGGTATTTGTTTGAGAGCGAATGCATATACACGTTACACATCTTTAATTTAACTGTGGTAGGGCCACGCAAAAGTCTTCACTGTTGTACGAATGGCCAGTGTTAGAGATTGCATACTGATTACTGGCCAACTACAGATAACAGGTTTTCAATTTGAAAATCTGTTCCGTTCTTGGGTATGTCATGTGCTGTCGAGAGAAAAACGTCGTTGTAAACTGTCTTTCTTTAATTTCGTAATTTTCATGTTTATATAATATATTTTTTATTATCCTATGTGTTTATTCATTATTGAATTCATCATTGATTGGGACTAAATCTTTCCCATCAGGAACGACCGTTCAAGTAAGTGTCACGACTTCACAATAATTTTCATGATTTATCTTTTCATAACTGATCGTTCGACGTTTTTAAGAATTCATTTTCATCTGAGAATCAATTGATCGAATTATCCATCTTTCTTTAGCAGGATTATGGGCCCAGATGAATACTAGTGAAAATATGGAAATGTCGCACGATGGATATAAAAATGAAAATTCGAGTACAGAAATATGTAGTGCGGGCGTAAGTGTTGCGTATATTGAAAAATTAGCAGGAAGCTCTAATTTTCACACATGGAAGTTTGATATGGAGTTGTATCTAACGGATGATGATTTGTGGAAATATACGCAAGTGTCACCACAGACGGAGGATATAGCAGGCATTCGTAGAGACCAAAAAGCACGTGCTCGAATCGGTTTGATGGCGGATCAGAGATGGCGCACCTTCATAAGAAAGACAAAGACGGCAAAAGAGGCTTCGGAGGCGCTAAGCAAAACCTATGAGGACACAGGCATAAATAACAAATGTGTTTAGGCAGATTAGTTAGCATGAGATTGGAGCAATTTCAAACAATTGAAAAATATATGACAGCTATACTTTCAGTGTCACAGCAACTTAGTGACATTGGTAAAGATGTTGATGATGAAATTCTGTCTACATTGATGCTTCAAGGTCTGCCGAAGAAGTATGAAAATAGTAATATAACTATTACTACAGACTATGTCAAAACGAAGTTTTACAACCTAAGCGATGAGAGCACACCATCTTCTAGTTTCCAACAAGATGATTCTACTCTTGCAGCAAGCAAGAAGAAATGGAAAGGAAAATTCAAAGCAATCCATAAAGCTAAGGGTATAAAATGTTTTATATGTGAAGAAAATCATAAAGCGGCTGAATGCCCTGACAATCCTAACAGAAGGAAAATTTATTCGGCAACAGCAAATTTTTTTGCGACCTGTGGTCAGGGATCTTTAGTGGAATGGGTGATTGACTCAGGAGCGAGTACACATATGACAAATGGAATAACATATGAAAAGAAAGGTTGGCTGAGGAATTATGTGGCGTATGAATCGAAGAGAGATTGCATCCGCGGATGGTGGTAAGGTGTATGGCTTAGGAGTTGGTGATGTAGTTGATGTGAATGGGAGCATAAGAGTGAGAGACGCTATGCATGCTCCTGACTTGGCTACAAATTAACTAAGCGTAAATACGTTAGTCAAGAGAGGTTGAGTTGTAGTTTTTTGAAATCTACAATTCGGATGATTGCGAGCTGAACGGATCTGTTGTGGCTGGTGACTGTTGGGTAGATAATGGCATATATAAACTTAATCCTTTTCAACAGGGCACTATAGCACTAGTATCCAGCAGCAGAAAGACGATCAACTGATGTTGTGACATCGGAGGATGGGTCACTTAGGAGTAAGCAATCTTAAATTTTTGAGAGACAAACTGGCAGATGGGGTAAATTTTCAAAATTCTAATAGTAACTTAGAATGTGTATCTTGTTTGATGGGTAAGCAAACAAGGCGGCCTTTTCCGAAGTGTAAGGTTAAGAGAGCTAAGGAAGTACTTGAGTTAGTACATTCTGATATTTGCGGACCAATGAGTGTCAACTCTATGTCGGGGTACAGATATTTTATGACATTTATAGATGACAAGCCAAGGAAAACTTTTGTTTTCTTATTGAAGAATAAGACCGCAAGACGAAACAAGAATACGACAGAAACAGACGCGCGAAGCTGTTGAGAAAATAAAAGGATTTAAATTTTTTGCAGAGAGGCAAACAGAAGAAGCTGAAGTCAATCCGAACAGACAACGGCAGAGAATATGTGAACAATGAGATGAAAAGTTTCACTAAGAAGTACGGTATAGTACAGTTCATCAACTTACTGTCGAGTAGTTACAGTACCCCTGAGCAAAATGGGGTGGTAGAACGTGCCAAATACAACTCTCATGGAAAAAGCTAGGTGTAAGCTGCATGAGGCAGGATTTGAAAACCGCTACTGGGCAGAGGCTCTTGTATATGCAGTTTTTCTTAAATAGGTCGCCTACAAAGGCAGATGTTAGGTTAATGGGATCACTTTCAAACCAAAAAGAGACTTTTGGACTGATTAGAAAACTATTTATTTTAACTTAAGCATTTTGAATTTATTTTTGAAGAAACAATCATTATGACGTTTATATAAAATATATAAGTGATAACTAGACATGTTACTTCTTCAAGCGATTTTCACGGAATCATCAAATATGACACAATTTAATCTGAACAAATAAAACTGACATTCCAAATTTGAAGTAATTCAAACATAATACATAAACTAAACAGAACAGAGGTGACATCAAAAGAGTATGTATAATCTGAGATTACCAATCAACACACCTTAATCTCAGCTATACATCACAACACCAGACAAGTACAGATCAGATATACAAAAATACTCTTTGGTACAGATAATCCAATAAAATTAGAAATTATCAACAAACAAACCACCAATCATAAAACAACTAACACACTCTCTCAACAAAAACCAAAACGCTTAATACTAACTAAAACCACAAAAATACAAGAAACACACAATACACTATAAAGGAAGAGGAGATATCAAAAATTCTGTAAAAAGTTTCTCTGAAAAATTCGGTTTTATATTCTGTTTGTTTTATATATTGACTTTGTACTAATAGTCAGACGACAAGTCCAAAACTTAGCAAACGAAAAACTGCAGAATAATAAAAATCTCCTCCTCTAACAAAAATAATTGATTAATACAAAACATTAATACTTTCCCCCTTACAAGAATCTCACACACTCGCTTTCACTGCGCGAATCTCTATTATTAACACCTTACACTAGCACTACCTACACTAAAAGTTTTAGAATTAAATACCTAAAAAATAACCTAAAAGTATTAATAACGTCTATCACAGACAATAACACCAATCAATTTAAAAACCTAGTCACTTAAGTCATTTCCTACCTACACCATAACATCATTATAACTTGATTACGAAGCCGCAAATATTTAACGTTGGTTAAATTATTCCTTAATATATCAGCCAATTGTTTAGCTGTTGGACAGTATTCAACTTTAAATTACCGTTCATCAAGCTTTTCTTTCAGAAAGTGTTAGCAAACATCAATATGTTTACATCTCCTATTTAAAACTCCGTTCTTCAATAAAACAGACTTAATATCCACCATCAAAGTTGTTTGAGGTACTACGTGTAACAATTCCTTCAAGAGATTTTGTATATATAATATTTTTTTACAGCAATCAGCAGCAGCAACATACTCAGTCACAGTACAAGAGACGCAACGATAGGTTGTTTTCTAGATGCCCATGCAACTGGACCTCCTCCAAAACAAATCAAGTACCTAGTGGTACTTTTCAGAGTATCTAACTCTCATCGTCCGCAGAAGGCCACAAGATTACCATCTCCCCTAACATACTCAATACCCAAACCACATGTACCTTTTATGTATTTTAGAATAGATTTAATATTAGACTAACCATTTTCATTGGGATTATTTTGGTGTCTACTACAATAGCCCACATGAAAAGCGATGTCAGGACGAGTTTTTTTAGCTACATACAGTAAATAATGGGTTTATTAACAATACAAATTAACAACTTCTTCACGACATAACCTTTAGGATCTTGCATAGTAATTTTCTCTTCTAGATTCCCATGTAAAAATGCTGTCTTGATATCGAATTGTCTTAATTTCAAATTCTTCTGAGCTGCTATCGATAAAATAATTCTAAGCGGAGTACTGTTCACCACAGGACTATGTTTCCTCATAGTCCACTTTATAT